TTTATAAGAACATCATTGCACTTGCACAAACCTAGGTGGGCTGGGTCAGCCAATCAATGTGATCTCCTGAGGTGATCAACATACCATACTTCTTTTTTAAAAAGATTGAGGTGGTAGTCTAATCACAACATTTCTCTCTTCCCTTTCTGTCTCCAAATACTCCTATACACTCCTCCCCACTCTCCTCCAAATTCACTAATTTTTATGCATGCATATATCCATACTTTTATATAGTAATGTTTTTCATTGGTTTGCTTGTGTATTTTAGATAGAGTCTCACTATGTAGCCTAGGATAGCCTTGAACTCATTATGTAGTCCACACTAGCTTTGAACTTATAGTCTTCCTGCACCAGCCTCCCGTGTCTTGGGATTGCAGGCTCATTTTCATGCTTGGTGTAAATTGTATTAGCAGAATGTGTATGCTCTAAGGATGAAAGCAGAGTATAGTAAATGAATAAACTGGCAATGTAGTTTGTCACCATCACCATGTGTCATGGACTGTAGATAATTGTGTGTGCTGTGATGTCATTTGGCTGCCAGCACAAATGAGGAGTGCATTGTGCCTAAGGTATTACAATAGTTACAAGTCTTGACAGCTCTGATGTCATTAGGCAAGTAGGAATTTTCCAGACCAGTCTAATAAGACCACTGTGTTATCTGTTGTCTGTCTTTGACCAAAACATCTTCATAGGCAAATGACTGCATGCACATACTCATATACATGTGTATATAAGTGTGCCAATGTGTATACATACATACAAAGAGTTTAGGGACTTTTTTTTCCTCCATAGTTTTTAATGATTAAAAAGACTCAGTTTACTAATTTAGAACTTACTTTTTCAAATTAAATTTTACTCCCGGGGAAACTTTCTTTTGCGCTCCTGTATTTGTAGTGGGGTCTGGTTCTGTGTAGCTGAATAGTCTCACAGGACTGTAGAAGTTGACCTGAACAGATGTAGGTGGACAGCTGTCATCCCAACAGCACATTAGTGTTGTAGAAGGCCAGTGCTGATAGAGGCTCTTGCTATGAGCCTGTTCACAGTTTAGGACCCAAGGGATTTTAATTTATAACCTTTCAAGAAACAGGGTCTTCAGCTCTACTAATCTATGGTAGTTACAGGTTCATTTCTGACCTCAAGGCTCAAGAACACTGTTTTGTTAACCTGTTCAAATATTATTGCTAATAATGTAATCAGTTACCTTTAGTTTAAACTCTCAAAGCCATCGAAGGTCCAGGTGGAGAAACCGCTATGTTCCATGTATGGCTGCCTTTTGTTTGTTTATTTGTTTCTATGTTTTGTTCGGTTTGTTTTTTTCAAGACAGGGTTTTAGCCCTGGCTGTTATGGACTCACTTTGTAGACCAGGTTGGCCTCAAACTCACTGAGATCCACCTGCCTTTGCCTCCTGAGTGCTGGAATTAAATGCATGTGCCACCACTTCTTAGGTAAGGCTCCCTTTTTATTATACAACTTTTAGTGCTTTTTTTTTGTTTGTTTTGTTTTGTTTGAAGTGCTGACGACTGAATCCAGGGCCTTGTAAGTGCTCAGGAGATGTTCTGCCACTGAGCTGTATCTCCAGCCCTTAGGATTTAGTATAAAGTTACAGAGAATATTTCATATTAAATGATCTATTTATCACCCTAATATTTTAAATCTCCCCTACTCCTAGTTTCTTTTATTCTTTGATTAACCCATTGGTTTGTCATTTTTAGAAATTACTCCAAGATCATTAATTAGACCCTTCTGTCTGAGAAAAGAATTAGAATCAAGCAGATATTCAGCATACTATATTTTTAAACTGACTTCTTTTGGCTCATCAGAGTAGTTTTATGTATATAAGTGGAATTGCTAGAAAAATAAGGATTCAAATGAACCTCAGAATTTCTTACTGTACCTACTGGCCATGACCATGCTCAGTGCCCACTTTTTGGTTTGCAATTGCCATTTGCCTTCAGAAGGATTCAGGACTCTTTGAAGAAATGACTGACAGCATGTTTGGAGCAGGGAGTAATATAAGTGCACCTAGAGTATATTCTTATAAGACATCATTTTAGGATTGTTGATATAACAAAGGTAGAGAAAGGGACTAACTAGAAGCTGCATCCTTTGGCTAAACCTAAGACACTTTAAACATCAAAAATACTCATGACAGGATTGGGTGTAATATTTTCAAAAGTTATGGGAGAAAAGCTTTTTAAATATATACAAAGCAACAGAAAAACCCTTTAATAACTGTCATTTTCATTAAATCTGACAAAAAGTTGATGGTAAAGCCTACTACATGAAAAAAAAAGGAACAGTACATAATCTGAAAAGAGTAGAGCTATGAATTGCAAAAGAAGCACCTGCTTTCATGTTGAGATCTGGCAGGCAGAGTTTCCTCATGAGCAGCAGCCATTGTGGCTTCTGCCGAGGCCAGAGAAGCATATTTTATTATTTATGATACACTGCCAAACATAGACAGTGTATGGGAATCTCTTGTCTTATCTTCCTGCTTACAAAGAATTGAGAATAACAAGTTAGATTATACAGTAACAGACAAATCTAGAGATTGAGACATTGGAAATGATCAGTAAGCTGTATTTTTCAAACAGCCAAAATGTTAGAACAAGAGGTAGGCTTTTTAGAAGACAACTGAGACAGCCCCACACAAAGTGTGATCCTTTATTAAGAAATTTAGAAAAATAAATAAATAAACAACAAAAACAAACCCCTAAAGACATTTTGGGGATATTTAGGGATATTCAAAGATAAGAATAGGTATTAGATAATGTGGTATGCTTTCTTTTCTTAGAATAGTAAGGTATTGAGTTTATATTTTCCCTCTAATATGCATGCAAAAGTTTTACGTTGACAAGTCAGAATGTCTGCAGGATATTTTAAATGGAAACTGTAGAATTGATCAGTGATTGTTGAATCTTTGTAGTGGACAGAGATTCTCTTTGGTCAACCTTTAAGCTTGTCTGTATGTATGTTTAAATTTAATAAAAATTGAGGCAAAAAATGATGGTATAAAGTGACGAATTCTTGGTTTCTGTTGAGAATCTTCCCTTTTACTCTCAGGGAAATTGGTTTGGGAGTCCATCCTCCATGGCTATGTATGTAATCAGTAGAAATGGTGGATTTGGCTCCCCTTTAAATGGAATAAGTGCACCCTAGCTTCTCTCCCACCAAATGCAACTAATACCCAGGCCAGCTGTTTGGATACCCTGAAAAATAATGACAGCAGATTAAAGAAGGAAACATTTGAAACAAAACATCTGGCACATTGGGCATTTCTGTGGAGCATGGTGGTAGCCGAACAGGCCAATTGCGTCTTTGAGCACTGACCCTTCTCTCTGGCCAAAAGAACCATGAGCCAACAATGGTCAGCAAGGTCTTCATCGCCTTGTTTTTACTATTTCTCTTGTGCTTGGAGGAGGATGTATTCCCGGGGCATGAGGCAGAGAAAAGAAACCCTAAAACCTTGGGTTTATAATCAGAAGATCAGGGGGACCAGAGACTCTTGGGATAGGGTGCTTCAGGAAAAAAATAAAAAAAAAGGAAGTGGTCTACAGATTTGTAGGTCACCATGGTCCATGCACACATAGATCTCACCCTAGCTGTGAACTCCATTTGCATAGGGTTCTCCAGAGGTACAGAACCAACAGAATTCATTAGACTGGCTTATGTGACAGAACTGGAGTAGTTCAGCAACAGTTGTCTCACGCTGGAGGCCTGGAGGATTCTGGAGAGCTACTGGTCTTTGGTCCTCAGTGGAGAATCCCAGATGTTTCCAAGCTAGCTAAGCTGGTCTGCAGCAGCAAACAAATTGGAAGGTGAGGACTGACAGCTGAGGCTGACCTCTGGCCTCCAGATACAGTTGTGGCTTACACATACACATGTGTCCCCAACCCCACCTCCTCTCGGGAAAACAAAAGAAAAATAACAAAAGCCAAGCCCACCTTAATTTCTCCTGAGACTTCTTTGACCCATGCATGTTTTAGAAGTACGTTTTTCAACCTCAGTATCCGAAGACATTCCCAGCTGATTTCTAATTTAGTTCAGTTTTGGGCCTAAGAATTTGTATTATTCCTATGTATTGTTTGGGGATGTGTTTTGAGGTTCAGAATGTGGTCTGTCGTGGTAAATATTTCATTGTCAGTTTAAGAAGATGTGTCCATTTATTCTCTATCTCCCCTTTCTCTTGTTTTGGGTTTTACATCCCCACTGTCTTTGGACTCTGATAATCTTCCTGTAAAATCTCAGACTTCTAGTTGCTGAGTCCTGGACTCTGACTTCAGAAACATTTCTTACCCTCCTCTCCCATCTAAGCACAAACCAGGCCTGGCCCTGCTTGGCTTTAAGGCTTGGACACATTCAGGATAGCATGGCCATAGACTGCAGAGAGGGGACTGGAAGGAGCTGAAACAGTCTAGTGAGCATTTCCTGGCTTAACAGTTTAAAATAGCACCTTGATCTGGAGACAAGCCTTTGTTTCAGAGAGCAAGCCGGTGCATATTTCAAAATGCTAACTTTTCTCCTCCCTGTACAAGGAGAGTTTTCTTCTGTTTTCTCCGTGTCTTAGTTTCCTCTTCCTGTAACAACTTAATGGAGAAAGGGTATATTCAGGCTGACAGTTCAAGGGTACAGTCCAGCACAGCTGGGAAGTCAGGGTGGCAGGAGCTTGAAGCAGCTGGTCACTCATCCACAATCAGGAAGCAGCAATGATTGTCAATGCTCTGCTCTTGTTATCAGGAAGCAGCAATGATTGTCAATGCTCTGCTCTTGTTTTCTCTTTTTTCTTACAGTTCAGGATCCCAGCCCAAGCAATGATGCTGCTACCTGTAGGATGGGTCTTCTCATCGTCTCAGTTCAATTAACCCAGTCACCACAATCCGGCAAAGACATGCTTAGAGATTAAATAATCTCTCATAGCTGTGTCTGGAGAAATGGGCAGTGGGAGTCGGGGGAGTGCCTAGCCAAAAGGACAACAAGAAAGGAGGAAAAAGAGTGGAGAAGTCAACACAAAGAGTTCATAAGAGGGAAGAAGGGGCCTTGGTGTCGATAAGGATATCGATGGGAAAATGTTAGGTTGATCTGGGTGTGGGAGCACACTCCTATAATGCCAGCACTTGGGAGGTAGAAGCAGGCAGATTTCTGTCCAGGTGGAGACAAGCTTATTCTACATAGTGAGCTCTGGGCTAGTCAAGAAACAAGGGTTGGAGAGATGGCTCAATGGCTAAGCAGGCTTGCTGCTCTTCCAGAGGACCAGAGTTTGGTTCCCAGCATCCATGCCAGGTGGCTCACAACCACCTGTACCTCTAGGGTATCTAATGTCCTCTTCTGACCTCTGAGAAACCTCACACATACGGCGTTCACACACATACAGAAATAAAACAAATCCTCTTTAAAAAGCTAGTGCTACAAACTGTTCGCAGCTAACACAAAATGGGTAGGTATGGTAAATCTAAAAGGAAGGGAATCGATGTGTCATTATGTAACTTCCTACCTGAGAAAGGACACACAGCCCTCTACCTTCAAAGGGAAGTCTCAAGTCATCTCTAGAAGCAAAACTGGTCACCTCATCTTTGGATGATGTCACCAAGAAGACGGTATCAACTAGACATTTCTATATGTGCCTCCCCAAAAAGACGGAGAAATGGAGAAAACTGTAGCAGAAGCTCAGCAACAGCGGTGGTGCACACCTTTAATCCCAGCACTTGGCAGGCAGGGGCAAGTGGATCTTTGTAAGTTTGAAGCCAGCCTGGTCTACAGGGTGAGTTCCAGGACAGCCAAAGCTACACAAGAGAAACCCTGTCTAAACAAAACAAAAACCAGTGGCAGAAATAAAAACTAAAATCTGCAATCTGGAATTATTAAGATTTATCAGATTAATAATACAAGAAGATACTGTGAAGCTAGAAAGTATTAGAATAACAAATGCAAGCTTTTGAAATACGAGGCACTCCCAGTGTGTGGCACCCAACTGCTGACAGCTACATATTCATTTCATAGCCCCCCCCCCCCCACCTAGAGTTCTTACAAAAGTAGATAGAGGAGTCTGTCTCTCAACCACCCACCCTACCCAACTCCCCAGCACTGGCCAACACACAAGCGGGTGAGAGAGAATGATGTTTTCCATGTGCAGTACTGCTTACAGGTTGGCCGGCTAAATTTAGAAAATACACATGCAAAACCCCAATTAAATCTGAATTCCAGAAAATTTTCAAAAAAAAATTTTTTAAGTATGTCTCTCATTTTATACTACAAAGTGTCTCTTATTTCTCCGGAATTCACCTTTAGCTCAGTGGCTATTATTTTCTCCTGGAAAGTCTAGTCACAGGAGAGAGGGTCACGATGGGGGTTGGGTTGGGAGCTCCTGGCTAAGTCGTATTCCATGATAAGTTCAAGAAGGTGCTTCTTCTCTGCTGAGGGGTGCTGACTTGACCAGCCACAGCCAGTGCTTCTAGACATTCCCCTGCCCCAGGAGCCTAGGGCTTATTCCCAAGATCAGCTTACCAATGTAACATCCCTCCTGCCCAAGTTTATGGTGGGAATGAGTGCAGTCAAGGTAACAAACCAACACGGTCATGATTTGCAAAACCACAGACACTTTAATAAGTTATGATAGTAAGGAGTCAAATTTTGCTATACAGAACAAGAAACGCATCGGTGGCTGTTGTCATATAAACTTTGTGATTTAAGCTGAGCACCATGTTTGGCTCCATTCGGTAGCCACCTGTCACACAGGAGTAAATAGAGTCAGAATGTTACCTCAGACAGACATTGGTATTAAGCACCACTTATATACTTAAAATAGATCCAAAATGAAAACTCTTAAGAGACAAATGTGAGGCTTATGTATTAGATTCTGTGGGGTTTCCTAAGGAGTTTCTTCACATGTGGCCTGATTCTCCCTAAGAATGAGAAATGACTCCCAGGTGCCTCAGGAGCTTTTTCTGGGTGATACAGGACAATCTGGGTGACAGCATGGTGCTGGAAACTTCTAGAGGACACCTACCTGCCCCTGGGGCCTCAGAAGTAAGAGCTGCTTGGAAAGCTCAGGGTTGTTTTGAAGTCCTTTCTCCAAATGGTCCCATGCTCAGGCACATGGGGCTTCTCTGAGCCCTGTGGACACTGTTCCTTGGGCAGAGTTGTATGCGCACCACTAGCTCCAGAAAGGCCCAAAGGTCCATAGCTCAAGGCACCAAGGATGTCATGTAGGACCTCATCTCCCTCACATCTGTTTTGCTGGGGCTGTCCCATGTGGGGCTTCTATGAAGCCCTGATTTGCTGGGACCTGACAATGGCATATTACTATCCCACAACCCTTAGAATGGGTAAATGCAGCCATATGCTGTCTAATCTAGTCTAGTCTAGTCTAGAATGTTCTCCATTCTACTGCAGACTAAACAGGAAGTACTCAGTTTCTTAGCCCACGAGTAAACCCAGCTGACTTGGACTCAACAAACGAGGGCCAGCCGTGAGATTCACTCCCAACTTGCAAGAAGGCAGGAGAGCAGAACTGTTCTCAGCCACATTCAAAGAGAGACAGTCAAGGGAGTTTTTCCAGTTTGGTTCTGTGGGAGCTGGGGCAGTGTGGGGGTATATGTGGGAAGTGGGGCCTGAGGAATGGATGGTGGGGGTCTGGCCACCTTCTGGGAGGAAAGTTAAGCACCATCTTAAATGTTGGTCAACTTGGTCTCTATGCTCTGACTTCTTTCCATAGACCACACAGACACTGCTCTGCCCCCCCACCACACACACAGGCAGGTTCACACAAACAGACTGAGCACCTCGAAACTCAGTGGAGGAGCAGCCACAATGACATTCTTAATTGCCCGCTGGGTGAGGCCGGGGGATGTTAGTAAGGAGGAATAATCCAAAGTCTACAATTGATGAGAACACAAATCTGCCCACAAGAACCCTCAGATTTATGGTCAGGCTGGGCCCAGCTTGGACACCACCATGTCTTTGGGTCTTTCCATGTGGGGGTATTGGAGTGGCATGTTCACAAAATGCCAATCATCTACCCACTCCCTTTCTGTTATTCCCTCCCCCACTCACATCTGGCTCACCAAACACCATCCCACCCCAAACAGAAGTTATCTAAGCTTCTAAAGAGAAAAAGATAAAGTGGGGCTCCCACCTCCCACCCTATACCTCCTACTGTAGACCGTAGTGTCAGGTTCTAGGACTCCTAAAGGTTGGAGGTGGGCAGGGGCAAGGCCAGACAACAGGCAAAACCCATCCTCTGGACCTGAGGCTCTGCAGCCTGGTGTCTCACTACCCTGGTGGCAGTACTGGGACACCAGAAGAGGGAGAGTCTTGGGTCTTGGACCACTCATTCCAGCCGGCTCATTCCAACTGAGTATAAGCCTCCATCATCCTTCCTCTCTGGGGACTTGGCCCAGACTGGCCAGAGGAGAACACTGAGTCTCTTCCATCAGGGCAGCAAGCAAGGCCAGGAGAAGTGGAGGAGAGAGATGGTCCTTGCTGCCTTTGACCCAGTGACCCCTGTTTGGAACCATCCTCCTGTCCCCCACTACAGAAGTCTCATGACTGTCCTAGAAAGAACTGCACAGCCCATGCTCAGCTGAGATCAAAACTGTGCAACACGAGCACCAGGCGTTGAAACTGCACCAGACCATTAGTTAATAATTAAAATGGAGACCAGAGGTTGCAGACTGGTGGGTCTAGACCTGAAACTCCCAGGTTCTTCCTCACTCCCACAACTTGAACGAAAAAAAAAAAAACTGAGTACAGGAAATGCAGATATCCAGCAGTGCAACAAAACGCCAAGACCAGGCTGGTAGGAAAGAGACATGTCACGCTGGCAGCTGCGGCCAGAGCCCGCTGACAGCTCTCGACGGCTGCTGCTCTCTGGTTGGTCACAGTCCTCTGCTGGGTACCACACTCATCCCACCATCTGCCTGGCCTTTGAGGTCATTTTGGCTCATGACCTCCACTTCATTGCACTCAACCTGCCAAGTGAGCTATTAAATACAACGCCATGTCACTTACCAGTCCCCGGTGCTTTCATCCCTTGGTCTGGGGACTGGCCAGCACCAAGGAGAGGAAGGTTCTCAGTGACTGCTTTGTGAAGTTGGAGCAAAGTTTCTCTCTCTGGGAGTTATCCCCCTTGACCTCCCTTCACTGACAGAAACTAGGGAGCCTGTTTATGTCCACCCTGTACCTAAGATCGTTACAAGAGTTAAGGACATTCCTAGACTGGAAAACACACGTTAGGCTGATTGTCACACGCCCCCCCCCCCCCCATAAATTCTTTTACACTTCCCCTGCTTCACGAACCTTTTTGGAAGCAGGAATTTTGGTTTCACTTCCCACAACACAGGATTTTCCTATCCCATGGACTATATCTATAAGCAAGGGGAAAAAGCTGTTGATGCGAATCTTTCCATTTTATTAGAACTTTCCGAGCTTCTCTTTTTTCTGCACTGCATTAATGAGCTCCTGGATTCTTTGGTTCCTCGTCTTTACATACAGGCTTGGCCGTCGAGGGATCAGGTTGGGAGACTGGACCTCTTCCTCCACGCCATGGATCTTGTAGGGGACATCCACAGCGTTGGTTTCCGGGTGGTCCTCGGTGGCATTGGTGCTGGAGACATTGAGGGGGACCTCCAGGGGAGGCGCTGGTGAAGACTGCCCCGGTGTAGCTACCGTGGACGCGGGGAGTGTGGGCATGAACACATCGATGTCATTGTGCTTCCCTGGTGGGGGATCCACACCCCCGTCCTCCGGGTTGCTGAGGTTTCGGGGCGGGTTGCAGGATTGGCAGCAGAGCTTGTTGTAGCTAGGGATGGAGCAATAGCGAGACAAGACTTCCATCCTACAGAACATTGACTTGTCGCCTTGGCACTGGCCCTCTGAAAGACAAGAGTGGGAGACATAACCAAACGACAAGGTGAGGGGGACGCGTACCCACCGCCGCCGAGTGCAGATTGCTGGAGGAGGCGTGTGACAGAATCCAGAGGCAGCACAGAGGCAATGAGCTTGCGCGGACAGTCAGTGGAACCGCAGAGTGTGAGTCTCTGAGCAGGGCGGCACCACGGACCCCCACCTGGAGTGCTCCCCTCCTGCAAGCAGTCCCCAGCGGAATCTACGTTTTCAGCAGGTTGAGACAGAAAGGAGACCTTTGTGTTCTTTAGAGAGACTCCAAGTTCAGCCTTAAGGGCGGGACCTCACCGGGTTCTTCACAGGACATCACAGGGAGACCTCGGTGTGGTTTTGTGGCGGGATTTGACTCTACGGCAATCTACCAGCAGTAACTACAACAATATTCAACCCAGCCCCTCAGCTGTAGCCTCACTGTGTGCAGCCTGTTCTGACCTGACATCTCACGGTGTTTCTGTCAGAGGTTTTTCTACTCACTTTTGCAGGCCTTTGGACACTTGCCCAAACATAGCTGATGTACCCTCTCCTGCCTTGGCTGCATCCAGCCCATGGCCCTGAGCTGTCTGGGAAGTTGCCAGACAAACTCAAGGCCTTCTTGTGAGGCAAGGCCTTCTCGTGAGGCGAGTCCTTCTGCTCAGCACACACTCATTCTTTCCCACTCAAGAAATTGATCAACCATGTCCCCCATCTCTGTTTACGTGGAGAGCTCTGATTCTCTCTTTAGACTTCCCCTGCCTCTCTTTTCCTTGACCAATCCTCAGCTCTACCTGTGGCTCTATTATTCAGCCAATTGATTACCCCCCCATTGGTCTTTACCCTAAATGTCACCCTCTTTTCTCTTTCCCCTCATTCTACAACCCAATCCAAGATGATTTATAAAACATACTCAGTATAAAAATAACAAGTCATTGTCACATGTCTCTCAGGCAAGCACAATCTGGCCTCTCATAGAGCAGAAAATCCCCTAGCCTGTGGCTTCATAGTTCCCCGCCTTCTCTACACTTGCCCAACTGATAAGTTCACATTCAATTATCAGCTAAGATAACCAGAGCCTAGCTTTTCCATCACCATGAAAGTCCCAAGACAGAGGTATCTGAACCAGCCCCAAAGGTGAGTCAAAGGATATGTTAAAAAAAAAAAAAAAAAAAAAAAAGGGAACCGGATAAAAAAAAAAAAAAAGGGAACCGGATACATGGGAATAATGAGAAAGTTCCAAATTGGAAAACTCTTGAGTTTTCAATCAACAAAGCTATAGTCAAGAAAAATATAGAGATGCATTCCACCAGAGACTGCCCTGAGCTCAGTAGTGGCCCAAATAAACAGGAAATGCGACCAGCTGCAGGTACTAGAATGTGAAGGCAAAAAGCAAAACAGCCTATGAGGAGAGGCCCAGGCTGTCCTATTATAGAGAGAAGAAATGCACTCACCACCTACTGGTAAACACACAGGCCTTGGACTGAGGGCTGAACCCAACAGCAAGGGCGACTGGTAGTGTCTTCCCCAGATGAAGTGTTTCATGGACGCCCAGTATATGAAGAATGTAAAGAGCATCACACTTGATGTTGAGGCCGGGGGCCCAGAGCCCCACCTGCTCCCTTCCCACCTCTATTCTGTCTTCTTGGCAGCTTCGGAGGCTGAACAGTGTAAAACCACCGACCAGAGTCCTGGGGAGTCTTTTAAATAAGAGCTGTGTAACAGGAACCCCCCCCCCCACACACACACATATGCACACACACTAAGCTTTGACAAAGGAAGGAGCAGGCCCAGGAGGCCACCACTCCTGCCACACAGTGACGCTCTGTCCTGTTCCCGTGTCTTCTCCTTTAAACACACAACAAAACTGTCAATGAGCAGCTATCCGTGCCCTCACTTGGCTCACTGTCCCTCCCATCAGAGGACAGCTTGGATCTGAAGTTTCCCCTCAAAGGCTCATGTGTTAAAGGCTTGGCGCTGTTGGGAAATGGTGGAGCCCTTCACTGCTGAGAGGAAGTTCGGTTATTGAGGGTGTAGTCTTGAAACAGATACTGAACTGCAGCTCTTTTCTGTCTCTCCTTCGCTTCTCAGCTGCCAGGGGGTAGGCAGACGTTCTTTGCTCTGTGTTCCAACCATGACATTACCACCACAAGACCAAGTTACCATGGACTGAAAACCATAAACCAATATAACTTTGTCTCAGGTTTCTTATCACAGTGCTGGAAGCTAACACTGCAGCCCCGCCAATTCAGGAATTGCCTGTAGAAGTCAGAGGGCTATAATAGGGCCATTGGCCAGATCCATCCTTTCACCCAGATTTATAAAGTTTTATTGAAACACAGCCACATTTACTGCCATTGATCCCTTTCCCACCATAACAACCTAGCTATGACAGAGGCCAGAGAAGCCCCAATGCCTAAAATATTTGTTGTCTGGCTCTTTGAAGAAAATGTTGGTTGACTCTGGGTCAAGACCAGCCTTGGATTAGCAGTTGGCACAAAGACAGTGTTCAGTCGATGGAGACAGCCCTGAGGGTTTGGGTTCCCTTCTGCAGGATGCTCTGCTTCCACAGGCTTACCAGCTAGACTTCTCTGTCTGGTTTCCTCTGACTGAGCCATAGAGCTTCAGTTGTGAAAAATTATAGCAGGCCAAGGAGTGAATTAAAAAGCCCCGGGTTAAAAGCATGGTGTGCTAGTTAGTACCAGCGTGTCAGTCGGCCCTCTGTGCCTACAGGTTCTACATCCTTGGATCCAGTTAACTGTGGACAGGATTAGGGGAAACACTCCAGACAGACTCCTTTGTGGTCAATTATTCTGTAAAGAATGCAGTAAAGCAACTGTGTATGAAGTGCTCACATTGTATTGGGAATTATACTGGGAACCTGGAAGTGATGCAAAGCGTTTGGGAGGATGCAGATACTATATGCAAACACTAGACCATTTTATTCCTAGGAAGCAGCCACCTGCAGGATTAAGGGGTGGATACAGTTCTTCCTGACAGTCCACCAGGGGTAGTGTCTTTTAAACAATACCAATGACCAGAAATGCTCCCTGAGATAAAGGAGCTGTCAGTTATACCTGCAGCATGCTGAACCGTGCGTCCTGAGGCTCTCTGGCTAGTGAGAAGTTGTCAAAATAATTTTAGTTTTATGATATTTGATCCTCCATTCTGTTCCCAATGACAACTAAATACCAAGAACTCTCGTTACTTATTTTTTTTAGATAAGATCTCACTGTATATACTAAACTGGCCTTGACCTCGAAGGGATCTGCTCTCCTCAGCCTCCTAAGTGCTGGGATTAAAAGCATATACCACCAATGGTGACCAAAACTACTGGCTTCTTAGGAATGATGATAAACCATTAAGAATGAACACATTGTCCATAAAGTCACCTTAAAAGCTAAGCATGGCCAGTCCTGGGTAGCACTTGGACAGGAGGCATGAACTCATCTGTATACCCCTCCCCTGCAGTCTTGGTGGTATCTGAATTCCATCTGGATCATTAGTTGCTTCCTGTTTCTAGCTCTCTTGAACGCCTTTTAAAACTTATCATTTGTTTTAGGAGAGAATTGATAGTAGTGTCATTCATGGAAGAAAAGTGCCATAGATAACTTCAAACACGAACAGAGAGAAAAATCAAAGTCAGCTTTAAAACCAAATTCGAATCCCCCAGTCTCTAGTGGGATCATCCTGAACAGAGCTCTAAGTGAGAGAGAAAAGTAAAGTGTGACAGATAGTGGGAAAGGCACCGGCAAGAATTTCTCCCCTGGTGTCGTAAAGGGTATCGCTTTATGAAGGGCTTGCTGGGTGGGAGCAAATTCAGCTTAGTGAATGAATGGTGGGCTCACAAACCCATCTTATCATTCTAAAGCTCACTCAACTAATTCATAAAGTGAGTGGCACCTTCCCTCCCATCAAGGGCCTTAGATGGTGCCCTGGGCATCGTGGGCCATCAGGAATATTGATGCAGGGCTCCCTTAGAGGGTAGCTAAACTTGACTCACCTCTGGAGAAATGGACTGAGGGAAGCAGTGCTGTTGATACAACTATCCTCAAGGCTCCTGTTTCTCTGCAGCTATGACCCCTTTGATTAACAAGCAGAGCTGTGGGTGGTGGACATCTCTGTAAGCTGGGGCCTGAGCTTGGGCTGCCAACCTCATTTCCTAGATGCTGGGCCATCTCCTATTGTTCTTTCTCATGACCCCTTGAGCTTTCTCACTGCTTTCTAGCACAGATAAGCATGAAGCAGGAGCCCCACCCATAGGATGAGGCAGACCGAAGGTGAAGAGGTCCCTGCTGAATCCTGGTCCACTTCCTGGTGGTTGTCAGTAGATGGGAGGACACAGGCCCTGTGGCTACTGAGAGCAGATCTTGGGAGGCACAGGCAGACAGGGCATACACACAAGCACACATGACCACTGCCTTGCTTCTAAACTGACTTTCCCAAGACTCCCCCCCCCCATCCCTTGGCTGATGGGCAATTATCTTTATGAGCAGGCATCTCAAGGCAGGGCGGTGACCAGCAGTGGCTCAGGAGACACAACCTGACACCACATTTCTGCTCTGATCCCCCCAAAAGGGAGAAGCCATCCCGGGTAGCACCTAGGAGCAGAAAACCGAGCCATTTCTGCAAGGTTCTCACTTAGCACTGACAGCTCAACACCCGGGGTGGAGTACAGCAGTGAAATTATTATTACTTTTTTTTGTTGGTATATGTGTTAGTGGAAGATGGGCCCTAAACACCTCTGTTGGGCAGGGTGGTGAGGTGGGGAACAGCGAAGTCACTGGAACCAGAAACCGGGTGATTAATGCTACAGGATGGAGCCATAATGGCACCTCAGGGCTGATTGTCAGGAAGGTGAAGGGAACAAGCCACCAGCTGACCAAACCCAAGCTCCCAGTTGAACTGAACTTTTATTGAGTTTATTTGTGGGATGCATGACAAGACGTCTTTCCATCATTAGTAAGAATAAAAGGTTATTTTCACAGTCACTTTGGCACACGCTAATGTCTCATGGAAAGAAAGAAAGAAAGAAAGAAAAAAAAAACAGAAGAGCAATGACGACAACGGAATCTACGTAATACGTCATTAAGTACATACAAAACACTAATAAAATATCCCTGATAAAGCAAAGTGCGTACAGACAGGAGGCAAATGCCCAGGACCGTGTCGCACCGCCTGCAACCTCGCAGGTCACTCACATTGCCTCGTCAAAGTTGGAAGTTAACAGTCGTGAGAGGATTAATTTGCAGTTACACACCAATTATTTACATAACAGTAATTAGTGCCAGGGGGAGTAGAAGGAGGCTTGGCTGCGTGGTCCAGCAGGAACAAGAACTATTAACAGATGAAGGTGGCTGGGGCCGGGTGGGACCGTCGGTTGGGAGTGCTACATCGGTCACAGCTAAGGACCCAGTTGTGTCACCCTCTGGGTGTAAGGCCGCGCTGTGGGAGCCCCTCGAGGGAGTCTCCACAAAACAGTCAGCGCCAACTGGCCAGGTGGGCATCGGAGGAGGACCCCTTTTTGTCAGAGATAGATGGAGTGCCTGCTGAGTCCCTTCACACATGGGTAGCTCAGGGAGGGAGCAAGGCCGTCTGGATTTAGAAACCTTACCCTTGGCAAAAGGTGGGCAAAATGGTTGGGGTCCCCCCAGATCTTCAGTGCCTGCCTCCTACTCGGATCACATCCCCCATCTAAGGCTGGGGTTAGCAGCCGATTCTGTTAGCTTTCAACTTTAAGGCATCTTCTACATAAGTGTTTCTAAGCCAAAAAAAGAAAGAAAAAAAGAAAAAAAAAAGAAAAAGAAAAAAGCAATAAAAATTGAGGTATTCTGTAGTTGTTCACACTGGTAGGTGAGGCACATCCATATCTGTCAATCAGTCAATCGTCAAACAATCAGTCTCACTTTAAATCCTCTGAAAGGGTCATAAGCACACGACAAGAAAAAGGCCATTGGAGCAAATGGACAGAGAATGGGAGTGGTGGTGTGTCCGTGGTGTCCCATCCCGGGGGGGACACATCTCCCTGCCTCCTCCTCCTCCGTATGATTGGACCCCCGAGAGGACAGGGGTCGGGGCCAGGGGTCGGGGGCAAGGGCCGTGTGGGTTGGGTGCAAAGGCCGACGGAAGCAGGCCACGGTTTCACAAGTCGGAAAGGACACACTCAGCAAAGGGCGACAGCAGCAGCGACAGCAGCAGCAGCCGGGAAGCCCCTGACACCGCAGGAAACTTGGGGTCTGTCACCCCGGCACGGGAGACGCGAAGAAAGAAACGCACACCGCGGAGACCCCTGTGGCCTCACCTCAGTGGTGGGTGGCGTCTGAAAGGGGATGGGGCTGGCTTCCCCTTGGAGTTGACCCGCAGCTTCAGCCTGGAGGAATGTGGCCCAATGAGGCGGTTGCCATGGCGAGGTGGTCACACTCACACAGTGGCCTCAGGCCCCTCCGGCACCACGACAGATCTTTGCCCCTTTACAAGCCATCACAAAACCAGGTCCTGGCCCCCCTACAAGAGGCCAGTGTCCCCAGACCAGGCCTCCTTGAGGCTAGCCCTCACTCGCCGCCGCCACCAAGTGGTACAAGCTCGGGAGGAGCAGGCCGAGCACACAGGCCCGGAGAAAACAGATTCACCCGAGAGAGCGCTCAGTAGGAGTCAGGGAAGCTTTCCATAGAGAGAGAGGAGGGGAGCCCAAGGCAAGCTCCACAAGGCGCAGGGCATGCACTGGAGGGCAGAGGCAGAGTTATAAACGGGTCGGTTACTTGACGAGATCTTCTGGATGGGTGAGTCAGGGTCAGGCCGGGACAGCCACTGAACCACGTAGCTCTTCTTCGAGGGATCCGAGATGTTTCCTAGAAGGAAAAGAGGAGGCTGCAGCTGCCAGGGCACCATGAAGGACCACACGCATAAACACGCGTGCACTCAGGCACGCGCACGCGCAGCTTGCCTCTAGGCATCCTGGGAGTGCTCAAGTTCAAATTCACCTAGGCAGGACAAGCCATTTTGGAAGAAAAGCAGACTTTGATTGCACCAGGCCCCCACCTCCCCTCCCTAGACTGTTGCATGCGGGGGAGGGGGAGAGGGGTTGCACAGGGCTTACGGGGACAGGGTGCAAGCCTGCACATCCTTGCTGTCTCCGGCCGCTCCTCCCGACAGACACCAAAATTGTCATCTGCAGTGCGGCAGAGGACTGGCCGTTCCTGGGTGCCGTTGCCACAGGTTACCGAACACTGTAGGGACAGAACCATCAATCAGGGGCACACCCATACTGGTCCTCAGACTCGAAGAGCTGGAGCATCCCATGCTCCCCAGGCCTGGGAGATGGTGTGGGGCAGAGGGTGGGTCTTGTCCCATGGGGGGGCTGCCCTGGAATGCCCACACCCATCTCTCAGGGCTGCTGCGGTGCTCAGCACTTCCGGTTTTACCCTTCTTCCTGTGGTTCGGATTATGATCTGAGTATGTCCTTCCTTTCCCCAGTGTGGTGGTTCTAAAGAAGGGATCAAAACCTACTGGGAGGCTTCTCCTGGCCTTTTTGGACTCCAAGAATGGTGTGGAAAGGCCCAGATGAAGAATACAAGCAAGTATTTATAAGATCATGGATGGAAGGTAGCCCAGATAGGAATGATTAGGGCCGATGGCATTGGATGGGGCCTGGGAGGTGGATGGTGAGGTTACTGAGATGGCGTAGGTAGAAATATCTGCCAGCTGAAGGAAAAGAGGCAATCATAAAATCTAACAGGTGTCTGTACTGTTATTTGTGCTAGTGGGTTAAATGATACAGCCTTGATAATCACAGGGCAAATAATAATAAACATTATACAGCCCAACACATTTTATTTACAACAATATCCCATCATCACCTTTGGGTATATACCCTAAGGATCTAAGTCAACACACCACAGAGGTCCCTGCACATCTGTGTTTTATATCTGCACCGGCACAGGAAACAGACCCAGCCTACCTGTCCATCAACAGATGGACAAAAGAAAAAAGTGGCCTATAAGCATATGTTTCTATGTGCGGGGGCATATCTGATGTGTAGGTGTACAGGCATGTTTATGTGTATGCATGTGGAGATCTGAGGCCAACGTCCAGAGTCTTCCTGAGCACTATCCCCCTTATCCATTGAGCCAGGGTTTCCCATCTGAACTCGAGAGTTGGCTGACACAGCTATTCTAGTTGGCCAGCTTGCTCCTGGGATTCCACCTCTGACCCCGAGCTCTGAAACTATAGGTAGGCTGCTGTGCCTAGCAGACATTAACATGGGTGCTGGGGAATGCAAATTCAGGCTGCATGCTTGCATAGCAAGCGCTTTAACCACCGGAGTCATCTTCCTAGATCCTACACAGTGGAATTTATCCAGCCATAGGGAAAAACAGAATCAGGACATTTGCTAAAAAAAAAAAAAAAAAAAAAAAAAAAAAATTAAAATTAAAAAAAGTTGATAGAATCAGAGATAGTAGGAAGTATAATAGGCTGGACTAAAAAAGACAAATTCTGTTTCTGCCCATATGTGGAAGTGTGTGTGTGTGTGTGTGTGTGTGTGTGTGTGTGTGTGTGTGTGTGTGCAGGTCATGACACTCGCAGGAAGTACTGTTTGAGGAGAGGGCAATGGGGGAAGGTAAGTTAGAACCAAACATCATGGCACGTGTGTGTGAGAACGCCCTAACGACTTTATGTGCCAACTTCCAAATAAAGACAGGATCATTTAGACAACGGAGGAAAGCGATGCCGTTTCAAGGAGAGGATACAAAGCGTATCTGCCCACCACCCTCCCTGCGCAAGGTATGGCACCTCAGTACGGTAATGGAAAATGCTTTAATACATTTTAAAGCCTCCTCTCTAGCTGGAGGCTGCTGAAGGCCCAGGAGAACATGCAGTGGGCTGGGGCTCCTGCAGCTTCTCTGATGCGGCCTCGGGAGCTTTGGCAGTCTCTCCTCTAACCTCCTTTCTCAGCATAAGGCTCCAGTATCCTTTATTCCATGACGCCACACCCCTGTGCAGTCATACCTGACTCCTGGCTCTGCGCTTCACTCAGCCTAGCCATGCAGCCTCACTGTGTGTGAGTGTGAGTGTGTGTGTGTGTGTATGTGTGGCGGGGTGGGGGGAGGGAACCCGGGATTCTCATGTTCCTCACATTCCCAAGCATCAGCCTGTTTGGAGGAATGGCTCTTGTGTAGTCTCTAGGGACCTAACTCATGGAAGGTTCTGGGTGATAAGAAAACTCCTGCTTGCTTGAGGCCTTGGGGCAGGTTATCTACTAGTTTTACCAGGTAGCGTAAACTAGCTGTGTAATTTACGCATGATAAATATCTGCTTCTCCTCCTCCTGGGATCTGAGGTGCATCACCATGTAGCTCGCTCCCTGACAGAAACCCTGGACTTCCGTGCCGTGGCTCCCATGGGTGCCATGAAACCTGAGCTGTGGCCCTGGGGGACGGGAGCTGTGTCAAAACGGGAGCGCCCTGTCTACCTCAGTCTTATCCAAGCTCAGTACTGGGGTTAAGGGCATGGGGCCAAGAGAAGAGCTTACCTGGGACCAGGACCCAGCCCGCCACCGCCCAGGGCAGAGCTCACGGTTGCAGGCCCTGCGGCTCTCAGGACGGTGGTCATTGCAGTGTTTGGTATGCACGGACCGGGTGGTGTTGTTGTGCAGAGGCTGAACGCAGCGGACGGAGCGCACCTGCATGCCGCTTCGCCCACAGCTCTGACTACAGGGCTCCCAGTCACCGGCGACCCACCTGCCAGGGAAGAGTGGCAGGCGGTCAGGGAAGCAGCCTGGCTGTGGCCCCGGTGGGCGGTAAGAAGAGAGAGGTCGGTCTGCTCCCTCCGGCGGCTGAAGCGTTTCCTCATTTCACAAAAGCACTGGCCACGTGTGCAGGCTTGTATGGAGGGGAAACTAAGGCTCAGAGACACCCCCCCCTGCCTGTCAGAGTCTGGGAGGCTCTGCCAGCAGTAGTGGACTGAAGGGTTTTGCTACCCGTCTATCCCCTCAGGGTCCTGGTCCTGAGCACAGCCTCATCTTCTGATGGTGTCATGAACCCTCCCCAGCAAAGCTTAAGAACACTGTGGACTCCCTGAGCCTCTGTCCCTGCATGTCCCCCTACCCCACCATCTTCCCCGACCTGGACCCAGAACCTGCCAGGGTCTGGGGGTCTGAGGATCCACGCTGCTGCTTAGAAACACCTCTTTCAGCATTGTGAGCCAGCCCAGGCCCTCTGAGCCTGCTTCCCCAACCCAAGCCTTAACACATTCTGCCTCTTCTGAGATGCCCACGGGGCTTCCATTCCATGGCTCAGAAGTGGGCCTGCGCCTTCAACCTACTGTGTGGTATGGGTGAAGAGCCCGACACCCCATGAGAGGCCAGGCCCTGGGCTTCCGGGATGCCCGGCTTCCTCCCTTCCTCCACAGTGTGCCCCCGCGCTGTGGCCCCCTCCCAGCACTCACACAGGCTGGGAACACTCCTGAGGGTTGCAAGCTCGGCGGATGGCTTTGGGCTTGGCCAGGGCACTGCAGAAGGCTCGGTGCACCATCTTGCTGTCCAGCCTCCGGCGGCAGCCGTACTTAGTGAACTGGGACCCTGAGGACAGAGAGCTTGAAGGGGCTCAATGGAGTGATGGGACCCCCAACGGGGCTTGGGGAGGTGGGGCCTCCACCAGTGGAGGAGTCTCTGCTCCTCCATTCTCATCTCCATTTTGATTTTTTTTAACCTTCCTATATAGTCCGGGTTACCTTTGAACTCATCCTTTGTCCCAGTATTCCCTCATACTTGGAATCCTCCTGCCTCAGCCCCCAAGGGCTGCAATCCCAGGCTTGTGCCACCACACTCGGTTCCTCCTCGTCCTTAAAACGATGTGGCGCCTTCGAGATACCCAGCAAGGAAGCCACCCTGCACCCCAGCGGAGGGAGCACAAGAATGCAGGCCCCCTTGATGGCTTCTGAAGTCAGAGGGGAGGCTCTGTCCCTGTCCCCTGCATCACTTAGCAATGTGCCCTATCGTGGGGTTGGGTGTGAATCAGGACTCGTCAACACAGGGCCCCTGGGCCTGCATGGCTCCTTTTTATAACTTTCCTGCAACCTTTCCTGATGTGGAAAGGCTGCATGGCTCCTGCAGCCTTTCTCCATGTGGATGCCATTCTTTCCCCAAGGCTACTGGGAAATAGCTAGTGGATAGAGCCATGGGGTAAGGTGAGGCATACTGCTCAACCTCCTGTGACACACAGCACCCCACCTCAGGACAGAGAATAATGGAACCTGAGTTTCCATAGTACCTAGTGAGCATACAAGAGAATATAAGCGCAGCCAAGCAGCCTGCCCTAGGCTGAGCATCTGAAAACATCCCGGAAAGCAGAGGAGTAAGTGACCCTGACCCCTGAGAGGGGTGGAGGGGACAGTGAGGAGACGCTTGTGCAGATTGCCCAGGGGAAGCCCTGTGTGTTCACAAGTGCTTGCTGTGGCTTAGGCAAGGCTGTGAGAGGCCAGTTCTCTGTCCTGCAAGGCTTTCGGGAGCCTCTAAGAGGTAGGTCATTGGAGATGTGCTCTTGAAATGGGAGCCTGGGGATCCAGCTCCTCTCTCTCTCTCTCTCTGCTTTTGTCTGTCTCTGTCTCCCTGTCTCTCTGCTTCCCAGCTACCTGCTAGGCTAGGCAGGTAAGATGAGCAGCTTCCTCTGCTGTCCATCTGCCCCTGCAATGTTCTGCTTCATCGACATAGCCCAAAGCAATGGGACCAGCTGTGGGCCAGACCTCCAAAATTCTAAGTGTTCATAATTTTTCTTTTTTATAAGTCAACTACCTTCAAGTTTTAACATACATGTCACCCAAGGCTGGTGTGGCCAAGATGGGGAAATAGGGCATGGGACGTCACCCAGAGGCTTGCCTGGACCCCAGAGGCCACAGGGAAAATGTTGGCTTTTGTCTCACAAAATGAGGAATGAGGGGTTACAGTGCAGGAGGGGGCAGTGTCTGGTTTATCTCTTTATTTTTCCGTGTGTGTGTGTGTGTGTGTGTGTGTGTGTGTGTGTGTGCGCACGTGTGTGTGCATGCTCAAGTGTGTGCACTCTGTGGGGGTCTGAGGTTTATGTCAGCAGTTATCCTTGATTTCTCTCTCATTTTACTTAATGAGGCTGGAAAGAGGATTATCAGATAGAGCCTTAACTTCCCTTCTGCAGCAGTAATCAGCCTGCTGGTGGGATCCATGAGGTGGGGGGTGGAGACAAGGGACCATGAAGGTAGAAATCTTTGAGGTCAGTGGAGACCCCTTTTCCCTCTCTCTCTCCTAGCTCCCAACTCTAGATTGGTCAGGTCTGTGTTTTTTGTTTGTTTGTTTGTTTGTTTTTCTGAATAGACTTAAGGAAAATGGCTTCCCAGAAGGGTCCCCGGCGCTGCTGGCGCTGCTGGAGTCTTGTTAGTACAGTACATGTCAGGGCCCCATCAGGCCAGCCCTCCCCCCCACATACTGATGCAGTCTCTGCTGGTGTGACACACCCCACAGGCCATCCTGGGGACATTTTTGCCTGGCGTCTCAAGCACCTGCTCTTCCCAACCACCCACTGACCTTTCCCGGCACGGGCTAAGCCCTTGATGGCACCAACCGAGGTCACTGCTATGTTGCTCCCCCAGATGCTTCTTATGTCTGACACAGGACAAAGTCACTGGCCTCAGAGCTGTAGTCAGGAGGGTTCTGTTCGCCCAGGAAGCTTCACCTAGAAGCCCATTCAAGCAGCCCCAACCTCCTCCAGGCTCACCCCGAGTCTCAGCCCAGGGCTGTCCCACCTCCAATCAAGCCCTGGCACCCCAGTGGTGAGCCCCCCCCTCACCTCCACCGCAGGGCTTGGAGCAGGGAGACCACTTCTTCAGGGCCCACTCGTGGCGCACAGAGTCATCCTCCAGGACATTGTTGTCATCGACGTTGAGCGAGTCCTCATGGATCATGTACTTGTATGTCAGTGAGATCCGGCTGTCTCCTTCGGGGATAACCTAGGCCCACGCCAACATGGGCATGAATATGTCTGCTCAGCTTTTCATCCTTCCTCTATAGCCAGTTTAGAGGCATCAGGCCGATGGACAACCAGGGGAGACAGACAGTTCCGGGCTTACGTTGTTCATCTTTAATGGCTTTTTGACTTTACAATGGCTCCTGAGGTTTGAAATCTGGGCCTTTTCCCTGGCTAGTGGGGTGTGCTGCAACCCTCTTATGATGCTGACAGCGGCACTGAGTCCTGGCCGCAGTTTACATGCAGCTGGTGCACTTTTGTCTGCCGTGAATGGACTCAAGAGGATTTAACCACTAAGGAGAATTCATATAGAGTTTGGATCTCATAAGCTGCTGGTCACAACATTAAAAAAAAAAAAATTAAGTTATGGGCTGGAGAGATAGCTCAGAGGTTAAGAACCCTGGCCGCTTTTTCAGAGGTCCTGAGTTCAATTCCCAGTAACCACATGGTGGTTCATAACCATCTATAATGAGAGCTGGTGCCCTCTTCTGGCCCGCAGGCACACATGCAGGCAGAATACTATATACATAATAAATAAATAAATCTTTTAAAAAATTAAGTTACGCTTTATTAACTTTTTTGTGTGTGTATGCACTCATTCGGTACCGACAGAGGCCTGAAGGGGGGTGACGGATCCCTTGCAGCTGGTATTATAAGCATTTGTGAGCTACCTGCTGTGTGTGCTAGGGTACAAATTCTAGTCCTCTGATAGAGGAGTAAGTACTCTGACCTTCTGATCCATATCTCCAGCCCTCCCTCTCTCTCATTTTTGAGAATAAGTTTCCCCAGCTGGCCTGGCACTTGCTTTGTAGACCAGGCTGGCCTGGCACTTGCTTTAATCTTCTTGCATTGCCACCCAAGTCTTGGGGTTACAGGGGTGTGACACCATGCCTGGCTCCGTGTATATGTTTGCTTTTTGACAAATAAACTATATAACTTAAGCAATTAACTAAAACTAAAAATTTTAAAGTGACCTGAAAACCCAGCCCCCTCAGGACTCCCTGTAACTGGGAGTACCCTGTGACCCTAAACCCAGGGGACCTGGAATCCAGTTCTGCTTAGACACAATGTCCAGTGTGACCTGTAGCTGGTTTCTGAGCCCTTGAGTGTGAGAATTTCAGCACAACAGCAGAGGTTAATATATCTCACAGTATAGCTGTGAAAGTCATTTAAAAAAAAAGGAAACACTAGAGAGGAGGCTTTGCCCATGGTCACTAAGAACTGGTCAGGGATCAGAGCCCTCACGTGTGGGCCCATGCCCACTCATGTCTGACATGGAGGTGAAGAACATAGCAGGGGAAGAGGCTGCTTAGAGCATAGCCTGAAGACTGCAGAGGAAGCTCCGGCATCCTATGGCCCCTGGGGCTCCCGTGGGCTCGGGAGGCACTCACCAGCACTGTGATGGTCCCGTGGAGTGGGCCTATGGTCTGTAGGGTCTCCCTGTCATCCTCATTCCTGTACTCCCACTCCACACCCATGGCAATGAAGGATCTAGAATTGGGGTCCAAGTGGTTCTCTTCATTCAGGATGAACTTGCCTGTCTCTAGGTTCTTGACAGCTGAGAATGACAAAAGAAAAGGGGGCATAGTCACTACCGCATGCTGCTGCCGGTGGCTAGGGAGACCACAGGGTTTTTCCCAGCTGTGCCTCACACCCCCCTGTTCTGGGGGTCTGTCCTTGTCACTAATAGTCCAACTTGCTTTGGGAGTCACATCCTGACCTTGGTTGCTCTATGGAGACCAAGCTAACCTCTGCCTGGGACCTGCTGCCTAGCCCAGTGCCCCTCAGACAGGGTGGTCTTCTATCCTTCTGCAAGGATATAGGGCCCTCTCCAGCTGCTGCCAGGGGAGCTCTCTGATCTCACGTTCTGACCTTCCCATGGAAGCTGTATGTTGGAAAGCCCAGGAAATGGGCTGAATGGGGAGACAGGTGGACCGGGCCTGAGGCATATCTGTCAATCAGGGCTGTTGATCTCGGGATCCGGCCAAGCAACCCAAGCTTTCCACCTTTGGAGCTCTGCCCATCCTAGAGGAACCAAGTGTCACAGGTGTTAAAACATCTGTGACTCACACAGATGGTGGCTGGTGGTGTCAGCCTCCTGGATGAGCAGGTGTCTGGCTCCTGCAGGGATCTCGAACATTTTGATGTACTCTGTGGGGGTGGAGAGAAAGCTGGATGAGAAGATAGGAAGCTGTTCCAATGCACATGCCCCGGGAGAGGCTGGCCCTCCAAGGCAGCTCCACCACAGGTGCTTCCAAAGCCTCTGCACTTGGGTAGGAGAAGGGTGGACTGGAAAGCCTGGATGCTTCCCATCCTGCATCTCAAGTCCCAGGTGTCTCCGTGCCGCCTCTTCCAGTAAACACTTAGGTGGTAATCAAGGTGCTAGCCATGCTGGAAGTTAGTTTAAGCTGCCTCATCTAGCAGGCAGGCCCCAGGTAAGCCACGTGGACTATCTAGACCTCAGTCCTTCTGCTTGCAAACCGTATTAGAACGCCGTGTGTGTGTGTGTGTGTGTGTGTGTGTGTGTGTGTGTGTGTGTGACAAGACCAGTGTCTTGCCACAAGGCCATTCCTGGCACATGGCTCCTTGTCAGGTCCTGTATGTTTGCTCTGTGGCCTTTCACTGGAAAGAGGCTTGTCTCCATGTCAGAGACGGACTGACTGAGACTACAGAGATGTAGTCGGCTGCTACAGGCCAACCCACAGGGTGCAGGGTTGCCTTAAAACACAGCCTCAGTGCCAGGCTGCTGTGTTTTGGATGTGGCTTGTGGGGTATCACCTATGTGCTAGATTTGGGGAAGTCCCGATGATAGCTGTCTGTGGGCAGGAGAGACGGAGGGATTAAAATAACAGGCAGCTGTGTATCCTGGATGGCTGAGGGGGCTGAGGGGGCTGAGGGGGTTGAGGGGGCTGACAGGGCTGAGGAGGCTGAGGGAGATGCCCTCTGAGGGCCCCTGACCTCAGAGAAGAGTCTCTGAGGTCCACCTATAACCCGGGCCTTGTTCTCCCTCCTCCACACCCCACTGTAGCTCAGATCCAAGCCCCTGACAGGTTCCCTTTCCCTTTGTGGCCCTCACAGCCCTGACCCTCAAATGGTCACAAGCCTACACAGAGTCTCAAGGGTAGGGACATTCCGGCCCCAGCCCCACGAGGTGCTGCCAACACTCCACCCCAGGCAGAAGGTGGCGTCTCACCTTGCTTCCTGGGCGACCTCGTGAACGTGCCCTTCACCACCTTGCAGTGGGTGTTGTCGCCTCCACACACGCCACACTTGTCCTCCTGCTTACGGGAGCCGATTACCCCATCACAGCCCACCTTCTGCAGGGCAAGAGCGGGCAGGGAACCTTTGAGACGTCATCCTTGCTCATGTCTGAGTTCCCCCAAGACCTGTTCCCTCCCACAGCAGGGATCTGTGTGTGCATCCATTCTTAGCAGCTCCTGATACAGGGGAAGAAGGGCTTTAGAGAGAGGCAGACCTCTCTCTAGAGATGGCCGCGATGGGCCACCTTGTCCTCTCCCTGCTTCAGTTCATACAGAGCATCACACAGAACTTCTGCCCTTGGCACCTCTACGCTGCCCTTCTCCACCCCAGAGGCATCCCTGAGCACAAAACTTTGACTGCTTTGTTCTAATGTAGCAACAGTGAGGTTGTGGGATCTATTTTTTTTAAGATTTATTTATTTAATGTATATATATATATATGTGTATATATATATATATATATATACATATATATATATATATATATATATATAGTGTTCTCCCTGCAGGTCAGAGGAGTGCACTAGATCTCATTTTAGATGGTTGTGAGCCACCATATGGTTGCTGGGAATTGAACTCAGGACCTTTGGAAGAACAGCCAGTGCTCTTAACCTCTGAGCCATCTCTCCAGCCCTGGGTTGTGAGATCTTTAAGAGTGGAACATAGTGAAAGGTGCTCTTGACATTGTTATTATAGCCTGCTCACTCCTGGAAACAGCCCGAAGACGCTAAGGCTTGCCTTCTTAGCATGGAGGGCTGAGTCTGATCCTAGAGTACTCATCACCCAGAACCAGAATGTCCGTGGTGAATTGTCTCGATTGTTAACTGATGTACGGAGGCAGCTCACTCTGGGCATCACCGCTCTCCAGGCCTTGGAGCCTGAACAGAGCAAGACAGGATCCCAGGAGCTGGCCACCCCAAGCCTTGGCCCACGCTGCTTCATGGCACTCACCCTGCAGTCTCCACGCACACAGAGGCTGAAGGCGTCCTTGTAGGAACAGCGTGTTCCATCATGCACCATGCGCTTCATGGAAACCACCTCCCCTGTCTCCTGGGACTCACAGTAGAGGTGGCATCTCTCCTTGGCTGGAAGGGAAATGGCAGGGTGTTAGGCTGGAGCTCCTGGTGTTGTTAGAACCCACCCCCTAATCCCTGAAATCTGTGCTCTTGGAGGACACAGAGAGAAAGAGACAGGTGATGGCAGCCTCCTTCCTACCTTTTTTGACTTCTGAGAATTATTTGACCCTGGTGCTAAAGGCCCTAGGAAGAGATTTTCTCAGCTGATCCAGCCAAGATGTGGCCCCCATCCTCCATCCTCACAGCCCTGCCTCGACCCTGCAGAGGCAGAGGGCTTTCTGCCCAGTCTCCTAAGCGCCTTCTTCAGAACCCTTCCTCACTGTTGGTGGCAGTGTGACTGAATGCAGCCACTGTGGAAACCAGTGTGGACTCTCTCAACAAACTAAACCTATGATTCCCACACACTGTGCTGTACCACTCCTGGGAACACTCCTAAAGGAGTCTAAGTCAGCACACCACAGGGACAGACGCCTGCACATCCAAACTGTTCCCAAGGCCCAAGGTAGGGAATCAGCTTAGGTAGGAGTCTGTCAACAGAGGGATGGATAAAGAAAATGTGGTATGTTTACACACGCAGTTTTATTCAGACACAGGAAGAAGACAATTGCATTGTTTTCAGAACAATGGGTGGAACTTGAGATTTATCATAGTAAACTAATTAAGCCTGACTCAGAAAACAAGCATCACAATTTTCTCTCATATGCAGAATCTCACTCCCCTCCCTCTCTTAAATATGTATGCTCAGTGTGGGGAGGAGATAATGGAGGGACAGCATAAGCAAAATATGACAGGCATGTATTAAAATGTCACAGTGAAACCCATTGTTTTGTACTAGTTTTAGAAAGAGAAAAGGGTCATGTTTAGTCAACCAAAGGCATCCAGTCCCAAATGCAACCAGACCCTCTTGGATTCGGTCCCAAGTTCCTGGCACTTTCTTTGTTCAGCATTAATCTGTCAGAAGCAATTGACACTGTGTCACCAGGCTTGGGTCGCCAACCCTGCATCAGCACATTGGGGCACAAGTGTGTAATTCCAGTGGGCACCCCAGGCTCACATCCAAGCCCCATTCCCTGCCCGGTGCTTGGGGTGGGAGACAGAAGCTGTGTCCCGGCTTCTGAATAAAAGGGAGAGGGACTCAAATGGAATAGAATTAGCCTTTTGTAGTCCTGTCCTCCACCTGTGGGGTCAACCCCCAGTAGACTGAAAATATTTGAAAAAAGAATTGCATCTGCACTGACCTTGTGTGCATCTTTCCTTATTATTCCCTAACTAATACGGATTAACAGCTGGGGTGGTTTGAATGAGAATGGCTCGTTTGAATACTTGGTCCTCAGTTGGTGGAACTATTAATTTTCGAATGGTTAATAGGCATGGCCTTGTTGGAGAAGGCGTGGCATCGGGGTGGGTTTTGAGGTTTCCGAAGACTCATGGGGTCCCCGGTGCTCGCTCATGCTCTGCCTCGAGGTTATAGATCAAGGTAAGCGCTCTCAGCTGTTCTTTCTTTTCGCCATCATGGACTTTAACTCTCTGAGACCATAAGCCAAGCCAAATGCTTTCTTTTGTAAGTTACCTTGGTCATGGTGTTTTATCTCAGCAATAGAAAAGTAACTAAGTAACTAAATAAGTAGAAAAGTAACTGTGTATTTGCATAGCATCTCTGTTATGTTAGGTAGTATAAGCCATCTGAAAGTCTCTGGAAGAATGTGTGTAAGTTATAAGCAAACACTCTACTTTATACAGGAACCTGAACTTCCGTGGTGCTGGGTATCCTATAGGGAGGAGGCACTCTAACAGAGGAGCAATCATCAAGCACTCCTTTGCCTAAAGCTACAAATTTTTCAACACTGTGAGACACGAAATAAATGCCATTTAAAGCTCCAACTGTTTGGTGCCCAGTTTCTGCCATCCACAATAGAAAGTCCTAATGTGAGAGAGGCTGCTGTGAAGGTCGGTTTGACACAGTCCAGGGTTTCCTGGGGAGTTTCCCCGTGAAGGATGGTCTAGATCAGGTTGTCCTGTGGGCTTGTGTGTAGGGGATTGTCTTCATTGCCTTAATTGAGGTGGGAAGAACCAGGCTGAAGGCAGGGTGTGACTGGGTTTGGGTCCTGGATCGTGTAGAAGGAACTAAGAGCTGAGTTCATGTGCACATCGGTGCATTCATTCTCTCTGCTCTTGACTGTGAATGTATTCGGTGCCCGAGGCCTTGATGCAATCCCCACTATAATTGACTGTAGCCTGGAACTGTTACCTACAATAAACCCTTCTTGTTTGGGTAGCTCTTCCCAGCAACAGGAAAGAACCCAACTCAGTTACCTACCAAAAGTCACCTGATTGCTTTGCAGGGTCAACTTCTGCTCCCATCCCACACCCGTGGCACCCTGCCACTCCAGCCTCATTCCCCGGATGGTTCCTTTAGGAGTTTGTACCCTCTGAGCTTCCACCCCAGCAACCTCTACCAGCTCCCCTGGGATTGAACCCTCGCCCCAGCTCAGAGCTCTTGCTCGGAAGTGGGACCTTGCAGCCACACCAACCAGCACTGCCTCCTCCTGCCAGCCCAACCGTCACCACAGATTTGCCTCATGTAGGATTAGAGCTGTGCAACAGCGCCCGCCCCTGCCTGCCTCCCTGGGGTCCTGCGCCTGGATCCGGCCCACTGCTCCCCTTCCCCAGGGCTCACCATCCCGGTGCTCGTGAGGCAGCCAGTGGTGCTGGGCATTGCCGTGCTCAAAGTACAGGTCCCACTGTCGACACTGCTCCTCCCGGAAGTCAGCCAGGGCGTTGGGACAGTCCTGGGGGTTGCAGAGCTGGAAGTCATAGGCCAGGCCCGAGCAGGTGCGGCCCCCGTTGGCTGGGCTGCAGGAGAAAGCAAAGGTTCCCCTTCTTGGGGCCTCTAGAAAAATATCTGCTCATGGGTGGCATTTTTAGGGAAATCCTTGATTCTCAGGTACGGAGGGAGCAACTTTACTGAGTAAAGAGATGCAGCCCTACCAGGCCCTGGGTAGCCTCTCAGTCAGGTAGGCCTTGGGACATCAAGATTAGAAGGAGCTAGCAGTAGCCATGCCCATCTGTGCTCTCTTGAGAAGGCAGTGTTAGCTGGGCATGGTGGCACACGACTTTAATCCCAGCATTTAGGAAGCAGATGCAGACAGATCTCTGTTAGTTCAAGGGCAGCCTGGACTACAGAGTGAGCTCCAGGATAGTTAGAACTGTTATATAGAGAAACCCTGTCTCAGAGAGAGAGAGAGAGAGAGAGATATGTTCCCTGGGCATTCTACCTTCACCCTGGCCTCAAAGCCCAAGACAGTTAATAATCACAGAGTTGTGACTGAATGTTAGGGTTAGGCCTGCCCCATTGGATCACAAATCCCAGGATGACGAGAACTGATTGAGTCTCCCTGCCACCAGGCCCCTGGGCACACAGAGCTTGAACCTGTCATGCTGCAGAAAACATCTCGAGCAATCCCGAAACTGTGGAATTGCACAAGCATGAGCTTCTAAGAAGTGTCTGGTATAAGGCTGGGTCTCTCCTCCTCAGAAAATAACCGGCCATGCTCTGTGACTTCCTCACTGACCGGAGAACGACCCACCAGGGCCTTTTGTGGCTCTAGCTCTCTGAGTGTGCCTCTCTTCTCAAAGCAAAAGAAAAAGCCTTCAGGGCCGCTCCAGGCACCACAGTACTCCACCTTCCCCCCAGGCTCCTGGCAGGAGGACAGCCTAGAGCACCAAACAGAAGGAGGCTCTGGGGGAGAAGGGCTTCATCGTGTACAGATCGGATGGCCAGGCACCAGTGGGATAAAGTCTTGACCCTTCTCCCCACAGCCGTGACTGCTGATCTGTTTGGCTCTCTGGTGGACAGTGTTCGGTTTGACAGAAACAGTGCACCTGTCTTGGAGGGCAGAGAATAGAAGCTGTCTCAGTGTCCTGAGACCGGACAGATTGGATATGGCCAGGGACTTGTGAGCCAGCCTGCCCCTGGCCCACTTAGAAGCTGGCAACCAGTTTACGGTTTTATGTGATATTCTAGACTGTCAGCATTTTCAGATAAGACAAAATCTATAAAACACCAGATCGTCCGACACAAGGTAGACACAAGAATGACCCACCACGTGTATGAGTCGTCATGGGGCCTGCAGGAAAGGAGGAAGGACCTGGGTACTGGAACACGAGAGGCAGCCCTTAACCCTGTCTCCACCTGACTTAAAAATAGCTGCATGGCTACAAATGTTACTGTCTAGACACCCTGGGATGCATAAGAACCTCCATTATGGACCCCTCCCCCATTCCCTATCTCTATCCCATATTCTATCCTCCACTCCCTAGGCCAAGAAGGACTGTCTAAAGTGGACCAGGGACCCCAGGGCAGTGACCAGGAGTTGATGTTTCTAGGGTGCTACGGGCTCTGAGCAAGAAAAGAAACCCTCCCTCTGAACCTTAGCTTCCACCTGGGGAGAAATAAAGACTGAAGGTTTGCCCTGCACCCTCCCCCAGCTTAGGGCTCTGCAGAAACAGGCTGGAACCCTCGGCCATGTCAGGCTCTGGGACCCTTGGCAATGAACTCACTGTGGGTTGTCACACTGGCGGGTCCTGAACTTCACACCTGTGCCACAGGTGCGTGAGCAGGAGCCGAACGGAGTCCAGGCACCCCAGTTGCCATCTCGTTTGAGGATGTCAGGGGTCAGCCAGATGCAGTGGCCTTTAAAGCAATGCTAAAAGACAGAAGGGCAGGCCAGTGAGGTGGCTTGTTGGGTAAAGGCCTTTGCTGCTTGCTTAACTGAGTTTCATCCTTGAGACCCACGTGGTGGAAGGAGAGAAATGACTGACCTCCCGTGTTGTATTCTGACTTCCGTGGCACATGCCTGATCCCTCCAAATTAAAACAACAACAAAAACCAAGTCATTACAAAGAAAAGGTAAGAAGGCATTTCCTCAACCCATGGAGGGCACCAGAATTGCCGGAGAGGCCTGCTCCCCTCATAGGGGCAGTGTCTTTGATGGCTGCCCTGGGCCTGCTCTGAAGGCAACAGGGATAGGGAAGGGGGAATCCGATTTTACGGGCCCTAAAGATCAAAGCCCTTACGTCAGACAGGCCTTGCCTTGCCTGCAACAACAGGAAGAACAGGATGTCCAGGCCCACCCTCCAGGGCCTTGTCCAGCCTGCTCTAAACCTCCTGTGCCTGCTGCTTATCGTATTCCCAAGATAAACACCCCTCGTGCCTGGACAACGATGCAAGAGCAGCATGCCAGGCATCCTGGAGATGGAGCAGGTCTAAGTGAACTCGGGTATGGAGGAGGAAGACTAAGAATATACGAAGCCCAACACCGGAGCAGAAAACAACAACAACAAAAACAAACAAACAAACAAACAAACAAAAAACCCACTAAATTCCATCATCTCATTCTTCCCAGCGGAGGAAGCTTACAAATCCCTAAGGAGCCCATGTGGGGAAGACTTCAGAATTTAAAACAGTAAATTAGTAATTCAGTACATCGCAATCCAACAAATGGTTGGTTGATTTAGAATAAGAAAACATATCACTCAAAATAAAGGCAATTAACAGCACATTACCACAAAAAAAAAACCCATTATTTTCTTTCTTCCTCTGTGTGTGTGCATGCGTGTGTGAATGTTCGAGTGTGTGCATGTGTGTGTGTATGTGTTGCCATGTGTGTCTGCATGTGTGTCTGAGGTTGAGGGTGCATGTGTGTACCTGAGTCTGTGTGGGGCCTCAAACTATGAGAGCCATGAAGACGGTTCAGCGAGTAAAGCCTGACAACCCGGCTTTGACCCTTGGCGTCCATGTGGTTGAAGGAGGCGTGACATGGAGCCTGCAGTCTCTAAGGAGACTTCTCTGGAGTCAAGGGCTCTATCTGGGCAAACAGATACAGGGCCAGCAGTTATGACTAAGTGATCCTGGCGTCTCCTTCCTGGGCCTCAGCTCTCCCTGCAAAGCCTCCCTCACTTGAACACGGTGGGGGGGAGACGAACTCACAGACATGTTGGCTCACGTTCCTGTCAGCTGTTGGACCAGGTAGAATTCACAGGCGGGGAGGGAACCCAGTGGACTGCATGTTTGCATCCCCTCGAATTCAAGTGGTAAAGCCTTAGTGCCCAGTGTGACGGGGTGGGGGTGTGGAGATCTTTAAGTCCCCTTCATGAAACAGATCAGCGTCCTTATCACGGGGGAGAAGAGAAATTCTCTCACTCACATGGCGCCCCCTGATGGCTGTGTAGCTTCAAACTGGGCTCCGCCCTGAGGGGCGGGGAAGAGGAGGGGAAATCCTGGTTTCTGCTCGTTAGCATCTGCCAGGCCCCCAGAAAATGATTGGCTAAGGAGTGAGCATATTATTTCACCTGAACCAATGAGGATTTGCCTAGCCTGGAACCGTGGCTAGGCAAACAGGAAAAGAGTACTTTCTTTCTGCAGACTGGTGGAGAGGGCGGGTGGTCAGGCAGTGAGTGATCTTGACAAGGGACAAACCAGAGGCCCCGTCAAACTAAATCTCAGGCTGTGCCTGGGAACCACCAGGCCTTTTGCTGGCTTCATAGCAAAGTGACCCACGGCCACCCACAATGGGTAGGAAGCAGACTTGAAGGGATGAGTCTACTCTGCTGTGTGAAGATAGCAAGTTGAAGGCCGGGCTGGGCTTCCTGACAGGGTGGGGAAGCCTGGAGGAGAGGGCAGCGTGGGCCCTTGAGAAAGCCCAAGATCCCCCTTGCAAACACTGCAGGGCCTGTCCCTGGTTATCATGGGCCTTAAACGCGATGTCTCCTGACCCCCCCCCCCCAAGTGCCCTTAATCCTGGCTCACCTTGCCAGGAGCACACATAGTTCCGTCCAGAGGGGGACCCTTCTTTGTCTTGCAGAAGTAGGGGTTGTCCGGGTGGCTGCACCATAGCTGTTTGCAGGGGTCAAAGGTCCGGAACTGGAAGAGAACACCCTGTTTGTCTGGCTGCCCTCCCTCCCCAGCCGACCAAGCAGAATGCCACCCCTCACCCGGGTCCTACAGCCTGAACTGGCCTGTGAACGAACACGCCTGGGTGGGTGGGTGTTGCAAGCTCCATGTGATTCCAGGGCCATGAGCGACCGTGAGCATGCAGCGTGGAGGACAGCACCGCTGGGTATTGCTGGGTCCCCAAGTCTCCAGCCTTGGAGGCTGCCCACCTCGGGGGAGCTTTGACAGGCAGCTGAGGGGCAGAATATCCTGCTTGGAAACTGACTGGGCATCCCTATGGCCCTGGGCAGGAGTGGCTGGTGCCTTAGGCATCATCACCGCAGGGCCCTTGGGGACCCCTCGCTGTGTCTCTACACTCACCGCAGTGCACATCATGTAGCCCAGGCCAAAGTCGAAGCGACATTGCTCGTTCATGGAATAGTGCAGCCCTGGGAGCTGAGGCAAGGCCGGCCAGTCATGGGCGAAAGGATCATCCCGCAGGCAGTCATAGGAACTGTAAGGGGACACGTGTGTGCCACGAGCGACCCTCAGTGGGGGAAGCTGAGGTCCTTTCTGGAGTTATGCTGGTGGGCAAGACTTTATAACCCGGTCTTTAGCTGTCATGCCTCATCCACCAGTTTAAGATTTCAAGACCTGGTGAGGGCAGCTTCTGGGTTCAGTGCCCTCTTGGAACTGAACCACAGGAGGGGGTCGCCCTTGGGGGCCCCAGGCGGGTACTCACTGCAGGTAGCGGCCGAGCTCCTGCTGGCTGCAGCGGGACCAGTGGAATCGATGGAAGGCAGCCTGTACCAGAGGCGCCATGATGCTGCCCAGCCGCACCTCATCACCGCAGCGGTTGCCCTGTCCGTCATGCTCCATGCCCAGCCTGTCCGGGGAGCAAGGCAGCCTGGCTGGACCCTCGCCTGACTGCCCCGACCTGCCACATCCCTACACAGCTCAACTCCAGGGAGGCATTTCTAACAACCACGGTGCACGGCCCTGACCTTTTCCGTTCTGATCCACTAGAGTCTTGACCCCAGAGCTACTCTTTCAGACATCCACCATTCAGGCCCCTAGCTCTGTCCCCGAGGAGGGCCACCATTTCCCGAACAAACAGAAGGAGCAGGGGTGTGTGTAGCCCAGAGCGCCCAGGTTGCTCTGTCTTTCCCTACATGCCTCCGCCAGCTCTGCCAAAACTGGTAACGCTTACCCGGGATTCAGTCTCATCTGATGCCTGGAACGTGCACATTTGGGCAGAGTCCTGGCTTTTTGACCCTGGGTCACCCTCCCTCAGAGCCTCGGTGACCCATCTACAAAATGGGGTGAGGCTCTGTCCCTGACCTGAGACTTGAATAGGATAATGGCACCTTGGCTCGCTTATGGGCCAGAGAACTAACTCTGCATGCACGTGTGCATGCGCGCACACACATACACACACACACACACACACACACACACACACACACCCCATGCTTCTTCTCTTTGATTTGATTTGTTCTGTCAGCAGAAAGCTGGCCTCAGGCCAGAATGTCAGGACAACACATCTAAGTGGCTTTCCCATGTGGCGGTCCCTCTTAGGCACGGGGAAGAGTGGTCATCCAGTAGAACATCTGATTTCCCCATACTTACACATGGCCTGTCTCATGAGCCACCACAAATGCCGAGGAGAAGCCATCCTCATGGTTCAGGGTGCAGCTGCGGACAGGGTGGCACATCCCGGTGACAGGAGCATAGCCTGGGAGGGGACAGAAGGTGGCTCCAGACTGCAGGCCTGGAGTTCTGCCCATGGACAGCCCCAGATTGCAGAATCCCAGATAGGACCCTCCCAGATCAACCCTACAGAACTCAGGAGATACTTGCCTTGGCAGCAGCCCCCGGCCCATCACTACAGCTTGGCGGCCACTTTGCCTGTCATAGCCCACACTGCGACTAACATCCATTTCCTGGCGTCTGGGCAGCTTCCTGCCCGCGCTCTCTTCCTGACCCCGGGGACGGACTCTTTCTGCTTCTGTGCCTCTTTCTGGGTCTTGAGTGTTATATCATTGTCTTCCTTCTACTTAGCTGCTTTGCTCTTTGCCAAGTGACTTGAGATAGGTGTATCTACAATTTACTTTCAGCCTTCTTCCTGAAAATAGCTACACATGTCAGTTTATTACTGTGCTACCTCTATACACAGGCTTTTAAAGATTACTTTGTGTGTGTATGCATGTGTGTGCTCGTGTGCGTCATGACGTTTGTGTGGAGGTCAGAAGACTGCTCGCAGGAGTTTCTTCTCCCCTTGCACCCTGTGGGTCCCAGGGGTCAAACTCAGGCCATCGGGCTTAGCAGCAGGCATCTTTACCTGCAGAGCCATCTCTCTGGCTCTACCCATCACTTCTGATTGCCATTATCAAATATGCCAAGGCGAAAGTCTCCCTTTCTCTGAGAAGAAAAGGTGAGGTGAGAGGGAGGGACTGGGAGGAGAGAAGGGAGGGGAACTTCCTACTGGGATGTAAAGTAAATAATTAATTAACTAATGAAAAAAAATTCTAATTTCTACTGTTAAGTCTTCCTCAGCCCATTTTGTGTGTCTACTGCTTAATCTCCAGAATGGCCCTATGTGATATTTGACCCTGTATATCTTGTGAGATTTCCCTGTGACCCAGCAGAGTCTGTTCTGGTATATTCTCACAGACCTTAGTAAAGAGATTATATTCTTCCATGGTTTACTGGAAGAATATACCAGTTAAGTCAAAGTGCTGAGTTCAGAGATTTTATATAATACATATTACATCTATTTGTGTTTATGTGTGTGGGCACATACATGCTACTGTCAGGTCAGAGGACAATGCCCTGGAGTCAGGACTTTCCCATGAGGGTCCTGGCAATTGCACTCTTGACTTCCAGCTTGGCAGCAAGTGTCTTTACCAGCTGAGCCTTCTCACCTCTCCAGCCCTAAACTTTCACATCGTTACTCATTTTTCTCATCTGTTGTTGTATCAGTTACTAAAAAGTGTCTGTAACATCTTCAACCATGTAGTTTGATCAGTTTCTTTTTCTTTTCTACCTTTTGATTTTGTGCACATTAAACCCTTGTGCAGAGGATCAGTTGGTAACCTATTCAGAGTTGTTTTTCAGCCGCCAGGGGAAGAAACTTAACCCTGAAGGCAAGGCTCGACATGATCTCATCTTTAGGCTGTCAAGCACTGTCTTGTCTATCCTACTGTTCCCTGACCTTCCTCTGTTCCTCAGGGCCATGGCTCCTGCCTGTCCTGCCCCTCTTCTCTAGGCTAGGCTGCAGCTGTTGGGAGCCCCTGGCAGCCCCCTAGCATTCTTTCCCTGTAGCTGAAGGCATAGGGCGAACCTTGCATGCCCGAGGGCCCGAAGTCCTGCCGTGTGAGGAAGATGGCGTGATCGTGGTACTCATCATGGTCTGTGTCTGGCTTCTGCTGGAGGTAGGCCCATCGGCAGACATTCTCCAGACTCTGAGAGGGGTTCCCAATCTCAATGAGGCTCATGGACTACAGTGGGCAGAGAGAGACGGAAGGGTTGCTATCTGGCAGATTAGGGACTGACCAGGTAGTTGTGCTGACAGAGCCCAGTGGTCCAGGGACCACTCAGATCCCAGCTGTGTCACTCCCATGACTTGCCTTCTAGTCAGCTCTACTCTTCTGAATGGAAGAGATGGTTCCTGGTCACTCTCACCCTCATGAGTTGGTCAGAGGCCCCGTTTGCCCTAGACTGTTGGATGGGGAGCTAGACCCCACCATTCTACCCAGACCCTTCTATAGACAGCTTATATTTGGCAGCTTGCTTCTTTTAGTACTGATGACAAGAGACAATAAGAGAATGTAGGCATGTTGAACACAAAGGAATGGTCTAGTAATAGTTTTAGTCTAGCCTATGGACAGAGGAGGCAGCCACACCTCGGCCATAGAAACTGTCAGGCTGCCTTTCCCACTTGCCTCATTTATGAGTCAAACAATTCTGAGGTGTGTTACTGTCACTTGCATATGAAAGAATTCTGAGCAACACACTTTTGTGAGAACCATGACCACGTAGGTCCAGGGCACTGGCTGGAAAGTAAAAGCTAGCAGCTAGCCTAGACTGGTGTGCCCCACACTGGTGTGGAGAAAGAGCTCCAGCCGAGTCCTTGAAGAGACTGAAGAGTTCAGCCAGGAACATACATTCAGATATCAGGACCCGTGAGCAGGAGGGGAACAGGCACGGAGGCAGGAGCCAGGCTGACATAGGGTAAGAGCCAATGGGTCAATACGATGTAGACAGAACCCTTCCCCTGTGCCCAAGAGGTTCTGGGAAGAGGTTGAAAACTCCGGTATCTTCAGTGGTTGCGTCCACTGAACACTGGCCCATGGCTGCCATTCAAGGACAGAGGCCCAGGCTTGCCAGAGCAGATGTCTCTGATGGGTCTACGGTTAAAGGTAAGGTTTACAAAGCTCAGTGGGTATAGTACCAGAGCAACATACCAAAAACCTGGGTTCAATTCCCAAGCACCTCCCAAACCAATAGTATGAGTTGGCTTGGACAAAAAATGGCTTTAGTAGACAGAGCAAAACTCCACCCCACTGCCCAAGTCACTCATTTAAGAACCTCTGAGTGAAGGTAGTTCCTCCAGGGGACAGGATGCCCTCCCCACCTTGCAGACAGGGCCCAACACTACAGTGGACAGACCACCCCACCACTTTGCAGACTGGACGCTGGCTGATTCCCTCTTTCTCTCAAGATGCTGGGCTCCAGTCCTGAGCCTCTCTTGGCAGACAAGGTGATTTCACTGCCGCGGCAGGATAATTTATTGAAATATTGATTTGTGTTTTTGTTCTTGTCTTGTTTTGTTCTCTGCCTGTTCCAAGAAGGCAGACTGCTACCAGCATTCCCCAGCCCCAAGGGGTTTGTGCCATGGGGACAGTTCAAGGGGTGTAGGAACAGCTTCTTAGCTTTGGAATCCCAAGAAAGATCTCTGGAGGGCAGGGTAGAGAGACAGACTTGGGGAGCACTGTCCCAGACAGGAGCTACATTACCGAGGAGAGCCCCAGGAAGGCAGAACTTCAGAAAACAGCAGCTCTGTGCTGTATTCTGTGAACCTTGATATGCATGCAGGCATCCCAAGAAACAGAGCATTCGGGGATTCAAGTGACAAGGTGTAGGTGGTGAATATGTGGTCACCCCTTGGTGTCTGGGAGACCATGTATGGCTGGTGCTGTGGGAGTGATTTTAGTACTCCAGCGACCCCCACATTGGTTAATGCTTAAGTTCCTTCTATAAAAGGATGCAGCATTTACACAGAGCCTAGCACGGCCTTCTGTATCCTTTACATCAACTCTAAATGACTTACAGCGTGTCCCACAGTGTAAGTGTAGAGTGCATGGTTGTTATGCTGATTGTTTAGGGAATAACAACAAGATAAAAGCCTGCATATGTTCAATACAGATGTCGTGTTTCCTCCTGATTATCCTCCATCTGTAGCTGGTGGAATTGGCAGAAGCAGAGCTGTGGGTGTGGAGAACCAACTGTATTTTCTCCCACCCTTTTCAAGGTCTGGCCTATCTCAAGCAGGCACCAAGGACCCAAGGGGAAGTGTTCTTGTTCTTACTGGGTCTGGAGCATCCTAGGGGTCACCGAGTGCCCTTTCCAAAGGCTAGCCTGTGACAAGACATCAATATTGCATCCAGTGCATTTTAGAAAGAGCTGGTTCTTGCTGGAGAGGATGGGAATCGGGAAAGGAAATCGAGTGTGGCCCACTGTACTGTCAACGGGCTCAACACGGGGTGGGAGAGGGGAGACATCAGGGCTGGGGATGGGGACAATGAGACAAGAATAGAGGTGGTTTCTGGCTTTGGTGAAGGATGGTAGTGGACACGTGGGGAGTACCTAATGTCTTATCAGGGAGACTGTGGGGCCTGGTCACAGTGCTGGGGACAATCCATCGTGAAGATGGGCTTTCCTGTACAGTTTGCTCGCCTCCTCCCTGGTTCTCATGGTACAGAATCCAACACTGAACTGGTCAAATGCTCCGTCTCAAGGCCCAGGGGCAACCCGGGATCCAAGCTACTAGAGCAAAGGCCTAAAGGCCTGAAAATCAGGTGACATGCCTTAGAGGCACAAGGAAGTTTTTGCCTCCTTCCTCCGGCCCCTTTTCCTCACCCTATCCACCCTCCACTTATGGGACCCACTAGCTGTCTTGCCCCACTTGACCTCAAAGACTCCTCTCCAGGGTCTGGAGAGATGGACCAGTGGTCAAGAGCATTTACTGCTCTTGTAGAGGACCTGCTCTTACAACCACCTATAGCTCTGCTCTGGGGACCCTCAGGTCTCTGTGGGCATCTCAACTCTTGCGCATATACCTACCTCCACACATATACACATAATTTTTAAAAAATTTGAAGAATTTTGCCGGAGGCAGAGAGATATCTGGGACAACCTGCCCAAGCTGGCCATAGTACAGGGCAAGGTAGCAATTGTCAGAGGCAGTCCAATTGCTGCTGGGCCAGCTGTAGGGAGCCTTCTAGAAAAGCCTGGGTCCCCACTGGGTGCTCGAAGCCACAGCGTTTTTCCTATATATGCATGCTTATGATAAACGTTGACCCTTGCAAGCACTTCACGGCTTCTCTCTAGCCCATGTGCGTCATGAGTATCTACTTCGAGACTTTCATTTCTACAGCAGTCCATCTGATAACCGAGACAGTGCTGAGCAGGAGGGCGCTCATGCCCTGTGGATACGCTGGACAGTGTGACCATTCAGTGTCCAGGCAGGAGGGAGTGATACGGTGCCTGATTTCAGCGACTTCCCCAAAAGAGCCTACAGTATAAACTTCGTCAACTTTTGGCTCCTGGAATTTTCCAGTTAATATTTTGAGATCAGAAATGGCAGGTGTTCTGAGTGGAAAGTAAATCTGAAGACGAGGGGACTCCTTCCTATTTCTTGAGTCTGAATCTCTTGCGGAAGTCCTGAAAGGCTGGGAGAGTTGTCTGTTTTAAAGGCCTTGGCCATCTGTCTCCCTCTCAGCTCTAGAAACAGCCAACACCTGGTGCCTGCTCGCCTTTGCATTGGTTTTTCTAGGAAAGTCTTTGCCTTCCTGTTCTTAGCTGTGCTGGAATGGGGATGGGTGAGCAGGGGGTTGGGGGAGGGGTCGCTGACTGCATAGGCTGGTGGTGCTCCCGCAGTCAGAACAGCAGAGGTCTGGCGTCTGGAGCAGAGGGGTGGCACGTTTGGAAGTGGACGATGGCGTCTCCATTTCCCGAGGCTGAGTGGTAGATAGTTGGAGGGCCTATCTCCTGAGGCAGTGGAGTCTTTCGTCCTGGGGCATGGATCTTCACAGTGACAACAGTTTCCATAGCTCTGACCCTAGTGTGGAGATCCTACATGGGCCAGGGCCACACCTAGGCCCATGAGCAAAGGCACAGATGTTCTGGTGTGTGTGTGTGTGTGTGTGTGTGTGTGTGTGTGTGTGTGTGTGTG